CTGAGTGGCGTTATCATGCAGCTAGTTTTTTTTTTTCGCTATGTTAATACTCTTAATAGGTTTTACTAGTCTACTTAGCATGTCGTAAGAAAAGGGATTTAGCAGAAACCACATGTGTGTGTGCTCGCGTTAGGCCTTGAAAGGGCGTGCATAGCAGCCTCAATGTAAACCACAACGAACGCAGAAGAAGAGATGATGGAACAAATAACGAACTTAGGCCCAGCTCCGCCCAGTAACATACTGGGTCATCTTCCATTGATGCTTGGTCAGGCTGCTCAACGTTGCTATGCGTTTAGAGGGGTGTCACGGTGGCGTTGCCTGTTCATTTACGACCTCAGAATATCCAGAAATCGCCCTCGCCGTATTATTTTCCTGCAGAAAACGAACGCTTCTCTCCTTGTCAGCTGTGAGCGCTGACAACTCCAACAAATTCATTTCGTGTTTGAATTCCCCAAACGCCAGAATATACGAAGTTTGTGAGAATAGCGAGTACAACACAACGTGTACCTGTCCGTGTGCAAATATATACATAGGAGGGGACAACCTGACACCCCTGCAACTTCAGAGTGAAGACAGAGGTTAAAACCCATGAATAAACGTCCAATCACAGTATCCTGGCCCGACACCGTGACTCATAAGCTGGGCGAAGCTAAGCCTTATTTTGTTGTTGTTCTTGTTGTTGTTGTTTCAAGTCGACCAACATTGTAATTTGAAAATGACTACCTGTCAGAATCACAGCCAGCACCTCCCAGCTGGTCGTATAGAGATCCTAATGGCTGGCAAAAAAATTACAAGCCAGCAAGAGACACGCCCACCAGCCGTCAATCACCAATCAACATTGAGACCGCCCAGGCTGTGTTCAAAGAAACGCCCACATTCGATATTTCCGGCTTTGACACTGTGAACAATATAAATATGGAGTTAGTAAACAGCGGACATACAGGTAATGTCTGTCTGTCTGTCTGGTCTGTCTGTCTGTCTGTCTGTCTGTCTGTCTGTCTGTCTGTCTGTCTGTCTGTCTGTCTGTCTGTCTGTCTGTCTGTCTGTCTGTCTGTCTGTCTGTCTGTCTGTCTGTCTGTCTGTCTGTCTGTCTGTCTG